TGTGTAGCCATTGTTTCCAGTCATCCGAGATAGAATGACTTAGTTTTTCGGGGTACGATCGGCCGGCATCGACTCCGACTTGTCGTTTCCCTTATCAGTGGTATTGCATGGGCATTTATTTGTCGTTTTCCCGAAACGTCCACATCTATAACAGAAGAGTCTCTGTTTTGGCAACTTACAATCCCTGAAGCGATGGCCTGGAGATCTGCAGTTCCAGCACTTCGTCAACTGCACTTCTCTATTATCTATAGCTGCTAGCTCAGTCGTATCATCGTTTCGTGAGGTCCTCGAAGTATTACCCTTGTATGCTAAATCTTTTTCCAATGAATAATCACTTTGGGTAGGTTCTTTAAAATTTTCACAGCTCAACTTGGTGCATTCAATAATCCTGAGAACTGCAGTTAATTCGCCCACTGAATCGAAAGTATCTCGACATATAGCTTTTTGAAAGTATGGTTGTAAATTTCTTCTAAGTATTATTAATTTTTGCGTTTCTGGAATTGGGGTAGGTAGTCGATTAAACATATTCTGCATAATAGCTATATAGACCGAAACACCTTCCTGATTACTTTGAGTTCGACGCTTAATTTCTTCCAATAGCTCTTCTTGATAATACGGTCGCTGAAATGTGTCTAACAGTAGCCTAACCAATTGTGACCAATTTGCCGCTGAATTTTTATTAGCCCTAAACCATATCAACGCTTCTTCTTCAAAGAAGTCTATGGCGTAGCGAAACAAGTCTTCATCGGTAGCATTCCGCGCCTCTTTAAGTTCCTCAATTCTTTCCAAGAACGCGTTTACACTTATGGTGCCCTTACCACTAAACTTGACACCCCAATCTTTAATCGGTACCAACTTCCGTTTGTGAAAGCCATTATCAAATGTAGAAGTCCTTTGTAAACCAAGATGACATGAGGAATGACTAGGTCTCTCCAAGACGGGAGGTGGTGTGTCAGCCTCAGCCACCGCAGATTGTGGAGCTCGATCTTGATGTATTTGAGTGTTAGTACCCTTCGGTAAAGAATTGTTCTCTGGGTCTCGGCACTTTTCCAACTGTTCCATAATCTGTATGGCCTCTTCGCCAAGCGACTTCTGTAAGATGTCCTTATCATGTTCAGAAATTCCCTCATCATCCTCACCTTCTTCTTGCTCAAGTTGTCTTAATGACGATAAGGTATCTTGAATATTCTTTAGCAAGGTCGAATGATTCGCAATATCACTAGACTCCGAGGGTATTATTAGTTTAGCACGATTTGACAAGTGTGTCAAACGAGAGTGTATGCGTTTACAAAACGAGTGCTCAGGACTGTGTGATACTTCAGATATAAGTAAATTAATAGCTGATAATTTCTTTTTACAAATTAATATTTCATCTTTTGGATTCTCGATGCATGACTTAGGTGCCTTAAAGGAAATAGAGGACTCACCTGACTGCTCGCGAACTAAAATTTCTCGCAAAAATTTCCGCATAGTCGCCACGGTTTTACAATCAGAAACCCCTCGACATGCCAACTCAAATTCGAGCTCATCTTTATATAATGCATTAACATCCATGACTAAGCAATAATAGAACTTTAAATAATCAAAACAATATTTACTTGATGAATATAATACTTACTACCTACCACTACCCACGAAATTACAATATCTGTCCGGAATGAATGCCTACTTCTTACACTGTTACACAAGAATCTCTTTACAATACACCTTGTTAATCCTTCATTCAGTTAACCCTTGGGCGCCAATGTAATGACCTGGGTTCGGGTAACTGGGTGATGAAAGATTAAACCGCGGCAAAAGGTACATAAAATTTATTCAACATTGACAATAATATTAAACTAAACTAAATAACTGTAAATCACTTAAAAAAACATAGAAAAGGCATAAAACCTAAATAAAACAGCAAAATCAGAATACAGGAAAAAATGAATTATAACAAAAGTTTTCTGAGACTTGGGTTCGAACCCGAGTTCAACCGTGTCGACGTATACGATGCTACACCCCGAGACCAACTGGTTACTTGAGAACAATGGTGAATATCTTAATCTCTATGCGTCAGGATCAACTGGCGTAATGGAGGCTGAATCACAGTCCTAAAGTTTCTCCCGAATAATTAAGGGCGTATCCGCAAGCTGAGGACAATGTAAAAACAATCAGCCTTGCAAAATATTGCCGATGATCCAGTGTACACTTCCGTAAAGTAAAAGCAAACACTTACCCCGTTACTGCAACCACACTCACTTGTCACTGGCAATAATACTTATATATTTATTATTCATTACAGATTTCTGATCAATTATGGCTTTGAGTTACAGCAATTATGCAAATTAAATGAGCACCCGTAAGCTGTCTCCTTTCTTTATATAATCGTCATCTGTCAGATTTATTTTTTTTTCATTTTCTTTTACTGCCACCCTCACTTGACCATAATAAATATATGATTTATATTAATGTGGCTAGCCTAGTAACGCCATCTATTAATGCACTTAAGAACTAAATATCGATCATTACAGTAGTATTATGTAATTGTGGATTAAATTAAAATGTGCTTGGTAGAACTGAAACTAATTAACATTATTAAATTATTTAGAACCGGGGATACCCTGGCGAATCGTATGATAATACGATTCCACAATTAGTGCATAGATTGGATTCTCTGACTACTGCTATAATATGTTTTTAGAATTCTGTCTCTAATTGTCATAAATATAAAAACATGCGTAGTAATATTGAACTATGGCAAAAAATGTTAAGCGCGCCATCTCTTAGTAGTTTCTGAAACTAAATATCTTCAATTTATCTAGGTAGATGTCGCTACGGTTAGCCGAAGAAAATCAACTAAAAGTACGTCACTAATTAAATCTGCATTATCGATATCTCTAGCTGTCATGTTGTCGATGTCATCTGTCAAATGTCACAGATTAGAATAGTTTCCCGCGCAAAGAGTGATAACGCGTAGGGACATGGTATCGAAGCAAAAGTATCGATACTGTACTCAGGAGTAGAATCGATAAAAAAAGTTTCGTAATTATTAAAGTATCGAAACATAAATATTGATAGGTACTTCAAGGTATCGAGTACTTCTTTTAGATTAAAATTTGAATAGAACAAAGTTCAGTAAACAATGTCGGTATTACTCCAGTTCGGCAGGAAATAAAAAACAAATGGTATTGGTACACAAATATAGGACAATAATAAAAATAAAATAAAACAAATTGAAAATGTAGGAAAAAGAAACAATATTAAGTTATTTTAGGTATATTAAATACTAGCAAAGTCCCACGGTTTCAACCGCATAGTAGATTAAAGATCCCATTCCTCCACCATTCAATCACTTAAAAATAGAGGTTTGTTGAGACTTTATAGAGATAAGCGGTTTCGGATTTTTGTGATGGTACTTCCTGCTTTAGAAAATAATCTTTCTGAAGGTACCGACGACACAAGATTAGACATACATTCTCGTGTCAATTTATATAAATGTTGGGTACAAATTGTACCCAACATTTAAAAAAGTAAAAAGTAAAAATTCCCAAAGTTTTGTACGATATTCGACATTCGATACGATATCTGGGAAAAAGTAAGTACTTATTGAGTAAAAGAATCGAATGCAAAGTATCGAGTACAAAAGTATCGGTATCGAATGGGAATGTACTCGATACCACATCACAAAGCATCGATACTTTTTTCTTGTCCCTAGTAAACCGCGATTATGGTGGGAAGTTTGACGAGCATCACGCTGTATGTGTTCTTCTAAGAATCCGTTGTGAATAAACTTTTCATTATTCAAGTATTGAGTTTACTTTAAAGTTTCAGAAGTGGTATAAGACTTACGTGCAGTGATAAGTGATTAAATTAGTAAAGTTTGGCAGCTGTACAATTACGAAAGAGGATGTATTCTTAAGTTTTGCTTTTTGTGAAAGACAATCATCATTTTGTGCTCGGCCTATGAACACGATAAAACTTGCTTTTAGATGATTCTCAAAAACTTTAATCGCTAGCAAAGTTTTGTGAATGTGTGTTTTGTTTGTTGTGCTTATGAAGGACTTCCACTTTTTCTACTCGATGCATGCTTGGCTCAAGTGCTTGAAACTGGTGATTGGTGAGCTTTCCCATGTTGAACTTTTATCTATGCTTGAGCTTAAATTGAACTCAATATCACTTGTTTATTTTGTAACAATAAAGGGCTATTATAACATTAACTAATATCTAAAGAATGCTGCTTCTTGAACATTATTGGTGGTGCAGGTTGTGACCTAATTTAGCTACATTGTATCTTAAATATAATTAATTTCATTAGTTTCATATTGTTAAGTGCAAAAGACAGTTACTTAACTACATCTATTAACTCGTCGAGTACCGTCATTGTAGACACAATTATAGAACAATAGGTTGCGGTCACCGGTGACCGCTTGGTGTTTGACAGTTTAATTATTAATAACATTCTACCAAGTGCTATAATAGAACACTAATTTTCTAACACTGCTATATTGCTGAAGGATATTGATTAACAAGTGTTAACCTTTTGAACGCCAGAGCAAAAATACATGAACCTGCCCTCAACGCCAAGCCACAAATTCCGCGCAATTTTCTACAAAAGAAATAGGGATTCCAATGGGGAATCAAATCGTGGATTTCGTGTTTCCATTTCCGCTTTTTCTGTCATGTATTTGTGTCGTTGGCGTCCTGGGACAGTGTTCGCTGGTCACGTATTCGTGACATTGGCGCTCAAAAGGTTAAGACTGTCAGCGGGTACCCATAGACACAACTGATATTAACTAACTTTAAATTAATATAGAATACTTATAAGTGGTAGTGTATATTTATGCTTTAATCGTTGTTAACATGGATCGACACAAGAGATCTCGGAGATCCAGTTGCACATCATCCTCAAATTCAAGTTTACATTGCAATGTGAACAAGAAGAAAAGATACAGGAGAGAATTGAGAAGAACCAATCAATGTATTGAAGCGCTGGAAGGTCTTGTTAAGAACCTGCGGAATAGTCAAGATAATCAAGGAGAAAGCTTCTTGGAAAATTTTGGATCATTACGGACAATTGTATGGTATGTTGGCAGGTATGATTTCATTCCTGAGTTTGATCCTCAATCGTCCACTGTCCCAATTGAACACTGGCTGAGGAATTTAGAAAGCATTTCTAAAATTCATGGCTGGGATGAACCCACCTTAATATGCAATTGTACATCTAAACTGCATGGCTATGCCAAAAGTTGGTATGAGAGACAGCCAACATATGAGTTAAGTTGGAGTCAATGGAAAGAAAAATAAATTACAGCTTTTCCTTTTACAAAAAATAAGCTTTGCCAAATTAGAGAGCTTGTTAATCGAGTAATTACCCAATGATAATGTTATTGAATTTTATTACAAGAAATTGGGTATAAGTGTATACTTGTACATTGTCAGTACGTTGACACGATATCGTGGCAATCAAAAATTATTAATTATTAAAAAAAATCAAAAGGACAATCCAAATAAGTGTTCTTTCTGTAATAAGTCAGATCACACAGAGTCAGTGTGTTTTACAAAGAAGAACCAAGACAAATTGTGTTCTTATTTTTTTTTTTTAAACTTTGCCCCACACTAGGATTATCTCCTGTGTCGTGGGTGTGTTTACAAACATACAAGTTCACATACACATGACACCCAGACCCGAAACAACAATTTGTGGATCGCACAAAGTGTTGTTCCGTGCGGGAATCGAACCCGCGACACGTTGCACGGCAGCCGGTTGCCCAGCCACCGCACCAACCGTGCAGTCAAGGCAAAGGTCGCAGTCGTGCAAAGGTCTTGTGTTGTGTACAGCAGGATAGTAGCTTAACGCTAAAATCTTACTGTAACAGGACTACCTAATCCTAATGACTACTAGCTAACGTTATCCTACACTATCCTTGGTAATTTAACACTTAACGTAACAATATAGCAGTAAGTAGTACTACTTCCAGTGATTGTCAGCGGTGCCTAAAATTAAATAATCTTAGAAATTACATAATATATTTCGGCTGATGAAATGCCTACATAATATGGGAATTCTAAAACTTGATGAGGGTAAAGGAAAATGAGCTCTAAAGACAACAATTTATTTACTTAGTCATCATGTGTATGATCAAACGGATCCAACTCTATGTAAGTATAATCCGCAGCAGGATGAGTTATAGGAGAATTACGTCTTCTTAGATTTGTACTAGTTGTCATAGACGCATTGATTTTATCGTAAACCGTAGTATCATGTTCATTGTCATATACCCTTGTATCTGCTGTGCTTGTTTCTTCATCCACTGCTCTATTTCTTATAATTACGAGTGGTTCTCTCGCAGTTACTTCTTTAGCATTATTATTTTTTGCTTTAGCTCTCATTTGTACTGTAGGTAAAGCTGTTTTACTGTCAACTTTATTATTTGTATCGTACTTTGATTTAATTGTAACTGAGTCCTTATTGTTATTTCTATCTTCTTTGTGTCCAACAATCATTTCTTTCCTAACTTCTTGTACTTGTTTTTCTAGATTACTTACTCTTCTCTCTAAATCATTGTTTACGTTGGCTGCTGTTGTGGTGTTACTACTACCACCTCTGCGATATATTTGTGTATATCTGAAATGAAATTTATATGCCGGAGTTGAGTATACAGGCAGGTCTTTGGCTCGAAGCAGGAGTATAAATGGAATGGTGTTTAGTCAGTAAGTCACATAGTGACACTCTCTCGCCTCACTCAAGGTGGCAGAAGACAGTGAATGATTTTCTACCCTCAAAAAGGAGCTTATAAGAAAGAAACCCCTAAAGATTTAATTCGGTAGTTAAACATTGAACACTACTAGTCGAATTAACAAAATAAAGTAAGTTAAAAGTTTAGTAGTTCACTACGACGCGTTACTATATTAGACGAACATAGAAAGTAAATCAATATTTGCAATTTACTGTGATCAAGATTTTGTAGTTTGATAAGTAAATTTGTTACTAGAATATTTTTAGCAATAAATACGTCTTCTACAGTTGACATTAGTATTTTATCAACTTTGTAAATGTTAGCTTTTGCCTACTAACAGCTCTGTTTGTTATGGTATAGGTTGGTAAACGAGCAGACGGATGACAAGTAAGACACCTGAAATACCAGAGGCATTACGAGTACGTTACCGGCCTTTTGAGGATTAGGAGTTTGAGGATTGTTGGGGTTTTGGGGATTAGGGAGATTGGGAAGGGGGCAATTAGGCTCCCGCTAGCCCTACTCACACGATGAAACACAACGCAAGCGTTATCTTACGTCGGTTTTCTGTGAAAAGCTACATGTCACACAGCTTGCTACCAATAACGGAAGAGTTCTATATCTTACCTTGCTCCTCGCCATAGACTGGGATGAAACGCCCTTTTATATCCAAACGTATCGCTACCAGAAAAATGTTTGCCTGACCCACCATTATTCTTTGCTTCATAGTATTTATCATTATCACGAGGTGTCCTTCCTATATTATCTTCATCCTCTTCAATTGAATACTGTTGCTTCTTGTGTCTGTACTTCTTTTTATCTTTTGATTTATAATTCTTTTCGCCAGTGGCCATCTCATATACTTTATTAATATCGTGGTTGTTTAAATGTTTCATTGCATATCTTGCTAAACCTTTCACATATTTTGAGTTCTCGTCAGATGATTGTGGTTTATTTTTGTGGTTTGGTGCATTATTGGTTCCTATTTGATTGGCTTCATCAATCTCATCATCTGAATGTACCTCGTCGAAACCTTCTGTAACTAAAGTTACGTAACGGTGCGTATTAAACTCTCGTAGTTTCTCCTGGAACTGCTCTATAGAATTAGAAGAAGAGTCTAAAACTTTTTCTGACTCCGGATCTGTATTTTCATTTTTATTAGCTCTTGCTTCAACACCAGTTACTTCTTCTAAATCATTGCTGGATTCTTTGTCTTCTGTCTCCTATATATAAAAGTTAGTAGTAGGAGGTGACACATGAAACTGTCTTGTGTTGAAAGTTGAAGTTTGTGTTCCTTTCATTTGATTCCAAATATTCTGTATTCTTTCTTTCAGTTCTATTTTAGCGTTTACATGTAAATGTGTATAGTAGTCGAATATTAACGCCTTCAGCGCATCCTTTATAACTTGTGCCATATTATCGTCCAATCTTCTAGTTTTCGGCTTGTTGTAATATTGCAATTCATTTAAAATCTTTTCGAATTTCTCTACAGTTTCTGGTCCGTACAAGGAATTGATATAATCAACGAAATCTTTGACTTTCTTGTCATACCTCTCGTCTCTAAGTATATCAGCTACAGCATTTATATTAGCTTTCGTTTGAGAGACCGGTTTACCACTGATCAAGTTCAATTTAGTTTGCAACATCCTTCTAGTGTCGTGGTGTTTGGTTAGCTCAGAGAATTTACATCCTCTATAGTGATAGTTCTTAACTTCTTCGTTTAAAATGTCGATGAAGTCTCCGAAGGTGGTATCTTCATAATTATTGATTATATTAATCGCTTGTAGTATGAATCCAGTGAAGGTTACTACTCTTGGTGTTGTGACCTGGAACTTAGGTACCTTACCTAGTGTTTTAGTCTTTGCTAGAAGGTCTTTGGCGATGTTAAGTGTTCTTTCTTCCTTGGTATGGGGTTTGTCATCGATTGCTTTTTTTAGTTTTAAGTCTTTGTTAGTATCTTGAGAGCTCGTTTTGATGAGAGCTGTAAATACATAGATCATTATATTAGTTACGTATTATTTGTTTTATAAGTGGGATTAACTTAACTACGATTTTAAAAGGATCTAGTAAAAACATAAAAGTGGAAAGTTTTAGTAAAAACTGATCATTCGACTATACATATACTTCGAATATATCGAATAGGTATTGTACCTATAAATTTAAGATTTTTAGACTTAAAGAAGTAAATGTATTTTATATGGATGTTAGGAAATAGCGTATTAAATTCGCATTTAATTCACATTTCCTAGAGACTCGACAAAAATATTTTATTGAAAAGAAAACAAAATAAATACCGAATATCGTGAACAGTAGAACACAAGCGCACACTTTCATTTTAATATAAAAATACTAACATTTTATTGTACCATAAAACTTGTTACACATTGCGCGAGCAACTATTTTTATATTTGTAATCCAATAAAATTATTACTACTATTTTATTTACAATAAAAATTGGAATGTTTACTGATTTTTAACTTAATGTTGTTTCAAAGTTGCAGTATTCAGTTCTAACAAATGTTTTTAAAACTCTCAATTCTGAACAAACTCGTTTGAAGACAGTCAATATTGAAAATGTGTTACAGTAATACAATTACAAAAGTGAATATTTCCAACGTGAAACCAATTATAAGTTATAAATAATGCTACCACTATTTCTGTTGTTATTTCTGCACTATGATTTGTTATTTTGTCAGCAGTTTTATGCAGGTTTGTCACAACTATACTAAGGAACAAGGAAACGGAGCCGCTAGCGTTTTATTCATTGATAAATCTTTTCTCATACAAATAACTTTTTTATTAATTGTATCGTATGTCGTATAAAACGCAATTCAGTTACAATGAGAGCATTTGGTTGTAAAACGAACATCTTTTTTAAGGTATAGAGGGTTCGATAAAATGGGAAAGAAAAACGTCTGTGGTTCCGCCTCCTTACTCCCAATTGTATATCATAATGTCATTGTAAATGGTCAAAGTGATATGTTGCCCTGATATGTTGTCTTGCCCATCGGGGACCTCAGTTACATATTTCTCAATATTTACTACAACAAAATATTATGACTAATTCTCAAAACTAAAATCTACTCTACAGCAGAAATATTTTTACCATTTGATAAAACTCTGACGAAAGACCACCAACCTCTGGAAGACAGAACTAAACTAAAATATGTTCAAAGACACGGCCGAACGACTTTAGATCCAGTCGTGTCGTCAGTTAGAGACAAACTATTCGATGACTATCGCGTGTACATGGCCACGTTAAGTACGGATGTAAAGAAAGGACAGGTTGTCGATGATATAGCAAATGGACCCAATATACTCAGAGAACGAGACAGTAATAAAGCAAACGACAACACAGCGACATCCCAAGAGACTTCAATCAGAGACTTAGATTCAGAACCTGACAAGAATGAAAAACTGATAAGAGAACTGAAAGAGAGTATGAACATAAAAGGTATAGATGTAACTATTTTACCCGATAAACAAGTGACGTCTGATCGAGATGACAGTAAAACGGATGAAAGTAAAAATGAAGAGGATAGAGATGTAACAGAAAATAGCTCAACAGACGATCATGAAGAAGAGAATGAAATTGCTGAAGAACGTGAAGAAACTACTCCAAGTAAGGATAATACAAATGAATCCAGTGATGATAGTGATAAAACTCTTATAATGGATGGGATTGACGATACACAACTAGATAAAATTGGTGATATACTAAATATGGAGAGACAAAAGACAGAAAAACAACAGTCAACTGAGACAGAAGATGAATATGTTACAACAACGAAACCAAGAAGAAAAAAAGCTACAAAAACTACAACACCGGAACAATTCAATTATGATTTTGTAAAAAAAACAACAGCCCATGTAAATAAATTTACACAGTCAGCGTTAAGAAAACACAAATCATCAACGCATAGAAAATTGAATGTCAAGAGAATTACAAAGAATCGAATCACAGTAAGCGGAAAATATACGACAAAGCATAAAAGGCTACATGCCAACAAACTTATAAAGAAATCAACGAATGCACGAGAACTAGAACCTATAACATGTAAAATTGATGAAGAAGCGGAAACAAGCTCTGGAACTACATCAGTACAAGTGAATATAAAACGTTAGTAGTATCTAAATACTTTCTTCTTCTACTGAATGTCATAAATTATGTATACGGACTGTTTAAACTTGTCACTAAAGCTATCAACAGTCTATAAGCAGCCACTGCTGACCAAAGGCCTATTCTCACACGGAGAAGGTATGAGCATTTATCACCACGCTTGCTCAATGCGCATTAGCGGTAAACTTATATTTAGAAATTAGCTCAGGTTTCCTCACGATGTATTCCTTCACTATATTTTTACTGTAAACTTTGACATCTACTATCTTAAATGATAAATCTTCAATTTAACTGTTATCCAGGTACGCCACAAACTACAACCACGATGCTGCCATACTTCCAAATGATTGTTGATCTGGATGAAGGGTACATGGTGGTGTTCCTCATCGAACTGATGAGGATCATGGCCTATAAAGACAAGGATGATCTATTTGAAGTCCTCGTCCATACTGAACAGATCGTGCTGCAGTGAGTGGCACATAATACTCTATGAAATGCAAGTTGACAGTTGATAATTTGAACCATATCATTACTATTTCAGACTTCATGAAAATGGAAAAATTAACTGGTTCGGTCAGCCTCTCTTAGACATTACAATGAATCTGGCAAAATTCACGACCGAATCAGAAACAGGAGTAATACAAAGTAAGAACTGCTTGACCAAAAAGAGTTTGACGCGATGACAGCTGGAACTAATATTGACTTGAACTGAATCACCCACTTCGGACTATATTCCATGAATAAATAATCATTCGAACATTTTCGATATTCGATGAAAGTAACAAAATCAAAACAGAGTGAGTCGTAGTGTACCAGGTCGCCACAGGTGCGATGCTAGCGACCTCAATTATTACCAACTCTTTTTTTGCCAAGCTGTAATTCACATGTTATCAGCTCATGTCCAGTCAACTGATGGTAGCGAGGTTGACTTGTCAACGACACACGTACTTAGGTATCGTCATAAGCTAATGTTCACATGTAAACTACGCTGATTCTAATGATGTTCTTACAGAATACGCTTCGAAATTGAATAAAAAGATAAGTGGACGTCACCAAGAATTATCTTCTGAAGTCAACACCATCATAGACTATGCTGATATGCTGTATGATGATGAAGAAGGCACGAAGCTCTTCAATGTGCTCAAAGATTTTGATGACTATCCTAACAGTACGTGTGTGTGCGATGTGGTTTTGTACACAGCGCCATCTATTAGTCGATCCTCGAATCTCATATGTAACAATTCAAAGCAATAATGCTGTGATTTTGTATTTTTTTTTATTCCAGCTACACGACCAGGCTATACAGTATGTTTGGCATTAATAGAAAGCTTCCTAAAGCCGTATCATCGGCTCAGTAATACAGTTCTACGTCAACGATTGTTAGACTCTATTAACTTTGAGCTAAAAGCTATAATACCTCAACCAGACCGGTGGAAGATGAGTGCTTTGAGATTTTTAGGTATTAAAGAAGGTACCTATATTACAGTTTATATCGAAATACTGTGAAACGTCTCTTATATTTATCAGATTATTCAATTACTGAGCAGCCCTCGTTTTATTCGTTAATTTATTTATATTGGGGTCCCTTGAGTCTCTCAAAATACTATTTGGTGTCTTCGATTTCTTTTTAAATTCTGAACTATAAGCAGGAGATTTCAGTTTTAAAATTGTGTCCGGATTGTGGCGTAAGTCTCCTCCGAGGTCCTAAAAACGTTTCATAGACGATCGTATCTTGAAACGAATTGTGCGGATCCCCGTACCATTCGCTTCGTGCTTGGCAATACAATCGGTCATTCGTGATACCTCTAGTGTTGCAGGTGTACTTAGACTACGGTGTCCGCTTACCATCAGAACAGCCGTAGGCTATATTGTGTAAATACTACTAACGTCGTAACCGCCTTCTCTTCCACAGCAACTGAACAAACCCCGTCAGTACAATCAGACAGCGACACCACAGTCCCATTCAGAAGGAAAAAACAAAAGAAATTGACACAGAATTTACTAAAGCTGAAGTCGAAAGCAAAACATCCGACTATCAAACGAAAACACACAAAATATGTCCAGCCAAATTACAGCAATGAAAATGTTTATAGACGTAGATTAAGTTATACAACTGAATCTCAGTACAATTATCCTTTGTTAAGAAATATGAAGCCGATCACAAGTATACAGAGACGGTACAAAATTGTTACTCCGACACATCGACACATGTTAAGGCACAGGTCTACACGTAGTTATATAGTAAACCTAATCAGTAGACCCACCAAGGAGTTCACAAATAAATTATAATATTATAAAGCTAAGAATCAAGCGCATACTAGATTTCCATTCCTCAATGAGACAGCACGATTTCGAACGCATTTGAGGCACAGAGACTAAGATCACAGGATTGAAAGTGTTCATAATAGAAATGCGATTAGCTATCAGAGAAATAAAACATACTTTTACAATCAAATGAGGGATGGAATTAAGCAACTAGCAACTGTTACAAAGACTGAGAGGCTTAAAACGATTCGCAATGAAAGCATAACGTCAGATCAATAATAATAAAAAAGGAAAAAGGTGACCAGAAAGTGTAAGTCTAGGAGAGTCGTCGACATGAACGGGCCGGCACATGGGTCGACATGAATACCACGGCCCAGCCAAAAATCGACGTGTAACAACGCTTGCGTTGTTTTATTTAAAACTTGAATTATAATTATGTATTTTTGAAATAAAACGGTTTGTGTTGTTATTTTTGGTTTTATTTCCTCATTATCATCATCATCACATATCAGCCCCGTACTGTCCACTGCCTCCCACAGTCCTCGCCCAATGACTACACATCGCCAGGTTGGTAGCGGCCTGCATACAGTGACTGTCGCAGACCTTTACCAGGTCAACATGAGTAGTTTACCACAGTATAATGAAATACATCCCTACTGACTGACTGCGTATAAACAAATTAAGTTTGTTTGCTTGTATGGAAGCGTGCAGTGGACAGTCGTGCGTTGTGTTTGACAGGTCTGTACGACGTCAATGGTTTTGTGAACCTGACTAAAAAAGAATAACCTATGGAGTATTTTACTCGTCGCTTTATCTCCATAGGAATTTATACCTTGATCTTCAAAAGCGTTCCTGGTCTAATTGAAATAAATGGTTTTGACTTTGACTTTGTCTCAGTAATCGAACCATCATCAGTTTTTAAGCAGTTGCTGTTGCGATCACCAGACCCGTTGAAAAAGCTTGAATTATAAATAAAAAAGAAACAAGTATGAAATAGTTGCATTACAATTTATTTACTACATAATACCTACTGATTCATTTTTATCCTCTCAATCAATTTCTTGTAACTGAGTAACTCTTGTACTGTCAGTCTGATTGAAAAAGAGTAAACATGGAGCTTCTTACTCGTTCTCCATAGCTACATCTTGGATCGAACAAATATAGCAACTAGAGAACAGACCGACAGACTGACACTTAGTATCTTATTGGACATTCAAAATTGCCTTCTTGGTCTCGTTGAAATAATTGATTTTGACTTTGACTTTAAGTGGTTCTCTTCCGATTCAAAATTACTCTCTTCTTCCGTGCTTCGGTGCATTTCTTTACGATTAGTTTTAAGATATTTATTTGATGCAGTGTCATGTTTAACATCACCAAAGTCATTGAAATATGGATTTCTGTCCAAACGACTATCTGCATACAAAATGCTTTCTTTCTGATCATCGAAAACATTACCAAATAGTAGATTTTTGTAATTTATTGTCGTTTCTTTAATTCTATTATAATCAACTTTATTTCTCACAGCTTTATTATTAGTTTTAGTTGCTGTTAAAATGTAATAGTTGTTGATGACCGGAGTTTTCACTTCTTTTGTGTACTTTTTTGTAGTTTTTGCAAACTTTTTGTTATTGAGTCGAGAAGAGAAATGATTTATGACATCATCAGCTACTTCTTTCTTCTCATTCGTTCTTTTCCTGTTCCGTCTGCTGCGTTTGTTAACTTCTTGGAGATATTTGGAGTTTATTCCATTTGTTGTTGTTTGTGCTGTGGAATGTAATTTTATCTTGCATTGTACGTTTATAGTTTTATTACAACTGTTTATTGCAGAGCTAAAGAAGTATGTAAGTATCGAAGAAGATGATTTTTTGTAGTTTCTGTTACCACACTGGGACACAGATGTTAATTTATCTATATTATGAGTAAACTTACGTTCAATTCTAAAAAGTATTCCATTAAGTCTTCTTAAAGGGAATTTATTCTTTAAGGCTGTATTGATAGAGTTGAATAGCGTTTGACCGCGCTCTAAATGGCTGAGTCTTCTGTACGGTCTCATAAAACAGTCGAATATAAATTCACAAAGCTGTTTTGCGTTTCTTGTACCTGAAATTCGTTA